GCCAACACATCACGAGATTATCTGATAGTCACCTGCTACCTTTAGCCAATCAAAATCGTGAAATTTGATTAATCCCGAATCAGTCTGAAAATCAAAACAAATGATTAAACTTAATTATCTCAAAATAATATAAATGTAAAAATGAGCTGTTTCTATTGTCCACATCCCATATATTAAATAATACTAAGAAATAATAACTAACTAGAATATATGAATATAATAATAATAATCAAGAAAAATAAGAAAAAGAAAATTCTATTACAATATAATTCTATATATTTTATATTTCACCGATTTTATTTTTCACACTTTTTACTAAATAAAAGATTGGATCAAAAATTATATGAAAAATTTTTTTTAATAGACAATTATTTGTCATTTGAAGAGGATCTGCAAATTTTATAAATAAATTTTATTATTAAGCCAAATGTAGAGATATTATATCTAAAACTTTTTTTTACTAAATAAATTACTTTTGGCTTATAATAAAAGTTGTAGATCTCATCAAGACACATTTAATAATGATAAGAATATTAAAATCAACCTGATAATTTTTGAGAAATTTTTAAAAACATTTTGCTGATATATAAATTTCTTTATTTTTTTTATAGAAATTTTATATAGTAGCAAAACAGTTTTTGAAGATTTCTCAAGAATCACCAAGCCGATTTTAATATTTTCCCTATTATTAAATGCATCTTGATAAACTTTATAACTTTTGTTATGAGTCCAAGAGTGATTTACTTAGTAAAAAAAAAGTTTTAGATGTAATCTCTTCACATTTACTAATTGAAAAATTTATATATAATTTATATATAAATATTGTGTAATCTGTATCACATAGCTCTTCAGATAACTGGCAAATCATCTATTAAAAAATTTTTTAAAAAAATTTTGTGTAACTTTTGATTCAATCTTTCACTTAGTAAAAAGTATGAAAAAACAAAATCAGCAAGATGTAAAATGTATAGAATTATGTGCTAAACAAATTTGCTTAAGAGATCAGAAAAATTTATCTAAGTAGAAAAAAAGGTTTACATAGCAAAACTAGAAATTTTGACATTAATACATAGAAAACTGTTTTTTTTACTAATATAACCCTTTTGTATACCTAGACTGAAGTTGTTCAGAACATAATTTTACATATAATTATTACTTTAAAACTGTTAATTTTTTCTTTTTAACAGAGTTACATTTTTAAATTGTATCAAAATTGCAAATTGTTATTCGGCTTAAAATATATTTTTTTCTCAGAAACATAGTTTATATCAATATGTAATTCTATATGTTTTTGCTATAGTTTTATATATACAAAAATTTACACCGTGACATATCGTGTGACTGATAATGTAAAATTTTATTATGATTACCTACTCTATAAATTAAATAGTTCAAAATTAATTGTCGTAAATATTTATACTTTTTTTTTTTTGATAAATTCACGAACTAGATAAGAGTTTTACAGTTTGGCAACAGTCCAAAGGTTCAGACACCAGAATGTCCCAAATGTACAACGATTCTAGGAATTATTATATTCTTTCATAATTTACTATTAACGAAATTTTTTATGATTCTAATTCCAGCAAAACCTCTTCCAATTCTTTTTCATCCACTTCTAGAAGATCATGGTTCATTGTAATTCCTTGATCTTTTTTATGAGCCATCATTAATGCGAGAATTACTGGTAAATGTACAAGACTTGCAAAAAACAAATCACGTGCAGATTTATCATTCGAATCTTTCCAAAATCTGTAAGCACTCAATAAAAGTACGCAGTTAATTAGACTTGAATCTAACGCAAACCACCAAGTTGTCATACCAATATACGGAGCCATATAGCTTAAAGGAAATAATGCTAAAGTATATCTTAATGATACTCTACTATTTAATAATGGATTTGTCACAACCATCATACGATACCCTGCTCTTGAATAGTCAGATCGCATATTCCAAGCACGAGCATTAAAATGAGGAAATTGCCAAGCATAAAGAATACCACCTAATATCCAAGCGCCTAATTCCAAGTTATTTGTACATGCTGCCCAGCCCATCATTGGAGGTATTGCACCAACGATTGCACCAATCCATGTGTTTGCAATTGTTTTTCGTTTCATAGGAGTATAAACGCAAGTATATAACAAGATGTTAGAAGCACCTAAAATAGCAGTTAAAGGATTAACCATAGTCGACAAGATTCCTACACCAGTTATTCCGGTCAAAGTACCAAACGAAAAGGCATGAATTGGAGATATTGCATTACGAACAAGAACTCTATTTCGCGTGCGTAACATTTGTGCGTCGTACGGAATTTCCAGTAATTGATTGATAGCGTTTGCAGAAGCAACACATAATCCAGTTCCAGCAGTAGTTGCGAAAAGGCACTTAAGGTCAGTAGCCATAGGAGCCATGGCGTATCCGCACATTGTTGTCAATATTACAAGAGCAGCGAGTTTTGCTTTCGTTAGATCCCTGTATACTCTTATGAGTCTTATGAGATCTGACACTAAAGATTGTTTTTGCCGTATGGGAGTATAGTTGTTAAGAGAAATTATTTTACGTAGTAACGAAAGACGAACCCTAAAACTGGTGGAAGACGAAACACCTGGCGAAAGCTTCTCAATTACTACAGCATTTTTGTCAAAAAATGAACTGTTTGAGTTTGAAGGTTTAGTATTAACGCCTTTATCCCAAAGACTTTGAATATTTCTCCGTTGTTGACCTTTGACTAGTACAACTCTTTCTCTATGACAGAATTTTATAAAGTATTGTCGCCATAT